CTTTTTTAAAGTTCGGCTATATTTTCAAACATTTTTAAAATTTTGAAGGACATTCTTGAGTACTTAGAGGTTCAAATTAAATTAAAATCGATGTTTGGAAACCGAGACTGGCAACGAGTTTATAATTTACAATTCTTTTCGCTGATTTTGAAGTATCAAATATTGACAACATTGTTTAAACCGAACCACCCACATATACCAATGTAATTTTTGATAACATGTTTTTATTTTACATGTAACATCACAAAAAAGCTACGGTTTACATTTTCTGAATGCCTGGTAATGGAAAAACAATTGTGGCTTATCTTTGCAATTCAATTCCTCCCTCCACTCCCTAAGTTTTACTTTCAGAATATTTTTATGTTTTTATTAAACCGTTATTTTTATGAGTACCTGATATTATTCCTCTTCGCATACATAACAAACATCCTTACTTGGCAAGGAAATTCGGGGGATATCAATAATCCAAAAACTTTCTAAAAAATTGTATCAGGGGCACATGATGTGATCGAATGATGTAAGTGTATATAAGGTCGTCCATGATCTTCCTATTAAATACAGACAGGGGGTGGTCAAAATTGGAAATAAAAAAATCTTGAAGGACAAAACAAATCATTTGACCGACGGACTCAGCTGTTAGTAACAGCCACACAGAAATGGAAAAAAACATTTGTTGCTTGCACTTTGGGAAATAGATTTTTCCTTAATTCTGAGCGCCTAAAACAAAACAAAAATCACTTTCATCTTTCCCAATATACCATGTATCAGGTGCACAGAAAAAAGTATAAAAAAAGTCTACTATTTTCCTGCACAAATTCTGCGATTACTACAGCCAGCTGATTTTGAAACATTACAAGTTGGCAACATTGTTGATATCGAATACTTACATATACCACAATGCAATTTTAGTAACATCTTATTTTACATGTAATCATATCATCTAATAGTTTTGAGCGCCTATTACAGTGGTACAATTAAAAAATATATGATATGGCTGCTACCAGGGAGGGAGGCCTCAATTTAATTTTTTTATTTTCAATACTTGGTTAGAAAGGAAATGAGGGAAACAAAAAAACTACTTAAGAAGTGTATCAGGGATCAGATGATAATAATCCTATGCCGATGATGATTTTGATACTGAGAGAAATATACATACTACTTATCATTACTGTTCGCCTTGTACTTCATATACAAAAATGTCAATGACAATATGTAGGTAAAATTGGAAATAAAAAAAATTGAAGGATAAAATCTCAGCTGTTTGTACTTTGTACCAGGCACACAGAAAAATTAAATTCAATTGTCGCCTGCATTTGGGAGGATAGATGTCCCTTAATTCTGTTCGCCTAATGAATTCTTCTTCTGGTTTCATTGATAGATATAGATTTTAACCACTTTGATCATCCCCATTATATAGAGGTATCAGGTGCAAAGAAAAACAGCGAACAAAACACGCATTTTAATCCTCACATCAAATTCTGCGATTTTTTCAGCCGATTTTGAAATGTTGGCAACATTGTTGAAATTGAACACCCACATATACCTATGCAAGTTTAAGTGACATGTTATTTTACATAAATCAAAAAAAAAAAACTATCGGTTACATTTTCTGATTGCCTGGTAATGAAAACTGATATTAACCAATCTAGTAATTGAGATTGGGGTCGGTTAATTTAAAAAAATCATGCTGCTAAGTTTAAGAAGTTTCAATAATGATGCAGCTGTATTAGGCGAACAAAAATTATAAAGTCTGTGTTTTTATGTGACAATATCAAAAATAAAACAAGTAAAAAAGTTTCAGTCGACTGCCCTTTGACTGTACTTTGCAACAGGCACACAGAAATATAAAAATTGGTTCCAATGACATTTGTCGCTTGCATTTTGGAAAACATATATCCCATAATTCTGTTCGCCTAATCAATTATTCTTCTAGTTTCATTTATACAAATAACTTTCATCATCTTCCCCAATATACGAAGTATCAGGTGTAGAGAAAAAGGTCTTCACATCAAATTCTGTGATTTTTTTCAGCTGATTTTGAAATGTTGGCAAGATTGTTGAATCGATATACCAATGTAAGTTTTAGTAACATGATTTTATTTTATTACATAAATAAAAAAAGAAGAAAGCTAACGGTTACATTTTCCGATTTCCTGGTAATGGAGTCAAAATGCCAAAATAGTAGTTTTTAACATCATTGGTCAATTAAAAAAAATCATTTAATTTAAATAATAATGATGCTGCAGTAATTTAATGTATTAGGCGAACATAAAAGTCTGGATTTTTATGTGACAATATCTAAAATATTTTTTTATATCTAGCAAGTAAAAAAGTTTCAGTCGACTGCCTTTTTCGTTGACCGATTTTTGTGTGATTTTTCATTTTCAGGTAACAGGCGCACAGCACCGATTAGTAGGGGGTGTTTCGGAGCAGCATTGAATTCAAATGCTAATAACTCAGGGACTACTCAACAGATTTTCATAAATTTTGCAGAAATGGTTCAAAGGAATTTTAAGATGGGATAGAAGATGCCATTAATCTAATATAATTTAAATATCGACTATTTTTTTAATGTTAACGAAGTTGACTCTAACCTATCTTGGTTTGATTTACACGAAATTTTCTACAGCGTATTGAATTGAGTTTAGAATGACGTATCTTGTTCTTGATCGGCCATGTTTTTATACCCTGAGCCTTATGGCTAATGAGGTTATACCTATACACTTGCTATGGCAAAAATGTGCCTCAACGAAATATTGTTTTAGACCCAATGTTGCTTTGTATCAAATCCGATTCAGATAATTTGGAGTAGATTTTTAAATGTGCGTTCCTTTGTCCATCCTCCTGTGTGTCTGGCTGCTCTCGAAATATTGTTTTAGACCCAATGTTGCTTTGGATCAAATTCGACTGAGATAATATGGAGTCCATTTAAAAATGTCTGCCCTTCTATGTATCTGTCTGGCTGGTGCTCACGATAATTCACGAAGGGAGTAACCGATTTCAACAAAGCTGTGCACATCGTAATATTTCTTTCAAACTTAAAACAGGCTCGATAATGGGGAATATCAGTCCACTCCTTCTGGTATCTCCCACTAAAAATAGCTAAATTTTTTTGCTGCCGCCTGATATATATATATATATATATATATATATCCTCAGCCTATGGTCTATGGAATTATAGAAAATTTTATTTCGCTTTTTATGAAGTATATGGCGATGAAATTTGTTTATAAAAAAGAAAAATTCTCATAAGATGAGGATTATGAGAATTTTTCTAAGGAAGATTATTTTATAAAATCATCATCGTAAGATTAATAAACTGAGGCTTCCTTTTTTTCCGTATGCTATAGAACAATATCACATTGCATTCTTCGAAATGTTTGGAGGCTAAGAGTATAGAAAAACCTCATCTAATCAGCGGCTGATGGATTTTGTTATGTTTTATATTGATCAAAATATTACAATATTCAAATACTTAAATAACTCATGATATTTATCTCGAGTCTACTTACCTATCGTAATTGCCAGATCGTTGAAAATTTAAATATATAATTGATTTCATTTTATTTATAAAAAATATATAATTTTATTTGTTCACAGTTTATTCGTACTAGAAAAAAACAACAAGTCTACATTTAAGGCAATTTTTGTAGTTTAGATAAGTCCTCATTTACATTAGGCAATATTAAATGTCTCAATTCCGAAGTTTAAAGGTGAGAGAGTTGAGGAGAATGTCAACCTTTAACCTCTCTCGCCAACAAACTGGCAATTGCCCCAAGTAAAATTGCCTAATGTAATTTTATTATACGTTTTAAGCAATAGAAATAAACACTAAAGGGATTTAAAGAAGAAAAAAATAGAAATTTAATTTTAAAAGAGTTACAACTAGAACAAAATTTGTGACAATATTTAAAAGTATTTAAAAACATAATACAAGATAATAATTATATTTATAAAGAAAGCTGAAAAAACTGTGGTGTAGGAACAGTGTAATGATAAATAGGAATTTGAAATCGTAAAGAAAACAAAAGTTTGAAAAAGGAAATGCGGTAGGCATATTTACGAATCAAATTTAAGCTTGCAAAGTTATTTCACATATAAAGAAAATGACGACTGAATTGATTCGAAGTATAATGAACCGGATTCCAGACAATGTATAAAGTTATGTTAGAGTTGATTTTTTGATGAATTAAGGACGATTTTAGTTTGATTTTCACGACTTTTAATTATGTTAATAAATTGGGATTTTGGACCATTAAAGTTCCACGATTATGATTATATGGGGAGACGATGTTTTGGAATACTTTATGGGCGAAAGTCTGATCGACTTTTAAGTTTCTTGTGATCATTTGTGAGAACTACAACCTTGTTCTTTCTATAACTACTGATATATCTTCCTTTTTGTCTATAAAATACAACATTTTTGGTATTTATTTTATAAAGATATTAAAGGCTAAGAAATATGACTTTGAGGGTTTAATAGGAAAATGCCGTCTTATTTCCTTCAACTTCCCTGGTGTGGCATTTAAATTTCTGGTCATCTATAAATAATCTTTATCATCAGGGATATGATGTATATTTTAATTTATTTTTTCACGAATGGGAACCTAGCCACAAGGCCAAGATCGGTTCCAAAACCCACTGGACATCTACAAAGTTGAGAGGCTAAACAACACCGTTCTGATCGATAATGGTTTTGTCTTTAAAACCTTCTATAGAGACAATACATACATATATTCCCTTTCAGTAGCTCCACATTTTTATCTTTGTTTTTTTTATGATTTTATTTGCAATTTAAATTTTTATTGTAGAAACATCTAATAAATCAAACAAATTTCGGGAAAAAATTAACAATTCACATAGGAACAGAATAAGAATAGACAAAAAAAAAATCTTAAAAATAAATAGGAAATGAAAAAACAAAATACAAAAAAAACACATTTTCATCAAAAAGTATCTTCTTATTATTAAACACAGAAATAAAAAAAAAAACATCTTCCCCATTCTTAGGGTACACAATTAGTGGCAATTGCAATGGGCCATGTTACCGGTCCCTTTTGCACAATATCCTCCATCAACTGTTTGATTCGTATAAAACGCCGTTTAAATTCTAAACCACAACCTTTCGACAAACGGAAATCTAACAAAATTTTACCATCCATTTCAATGAGATGTGCCTTAAATACTAAATTCAGTTTCGACTTATCAATCGTACTGATGGTAACTACCAAATTATCTTCACATATTTTATAAGTATATCCGAGTTTTTCGATTGTGGCCACTAGTCGCTTTAGGGTGTCATCATGTCGCGTGGACACAAAGAATCTTGTCATACGTCTCACTAAACGTTGGAAGAGATTCTGTGATGCCGATTGTGTTTGATTCATTTGTGTACACAGCAGCAAATCGTCCAACATTGCCGGTTGTGAGAAACAGAAACCGAGACGATGTTCTCGTGCTGCTGCTGGTAAATTATCAGCTTCTTGTGGATTGGCAGGAGCCTCGAAATCATTACGGAATACTGGCAGTGGTTGTGAACAATAATTGCGTGATATTGAGTCGTCGAGATTGTTACTGCCACTATGATTGCTGGACATTTGGCGGGGTCGTTTGGCTTTCGGTGAACGTATCTCTAAGGCAGCGGCGGAATCGACCAGGTCACGGGCACGATCTGTAGGAGAGAAAAGAAATATTAGAAATTGTTTTTGAATTTTTATTGATTATTTATTTATTTTTTTTTTTTTGAAATACAAAATATCACAATTGGCAATTAAATTAAATAAAAAATGATGAACATAAAACGCAAAAATCATTTGGTTTTTGGTAATAAAGCTCTATGGAATCTAAAGTTTTTCGAAAACAACCATACAGCTAAAATCACCAAAGATCAAATAATATGCAAACTCAAAATGTATAAAAGCACATAAACACATACACAAAAGCAAAATTAAAAATAAAAATCATATTTAACACAAAATTAAAAACTAAAGTTTAAATTAGAACTTTAAAATACAAATTTTTTAACAAAAAAATTATATTAGCTTATAACACGACTTTCTGGTTAGTAGTTCGACGATTTTTGTGTTTTTTTATATATTATATATCAGATCCTTTATAATGGTAGCAGATTGTCCACAGGGGCAACTTTCAGGTCATTAAAAATGTCGTTTATTAATCCGACACTCAAGGCGTCGTTTAAAATAAGCAATCAGTTAGTCCTGAGGATACACTTTTTAGAATTAAAGTTTTCAATAGAACAAATCTCTAGGATCCAGAGGACTATTTTTTACAAAATTAATTTTTATTGAAAAAGAAAGTGTCTTCGAGGGTGCCTATGACTGACTTCTGTGAAAAAAGTCCTCTAAATGTCCTTTTTATAAACAAATACTGTTATGGGTTCTGAGGACTGTTCGTTTGTAAATAAACGTATCATTTCGTCCCGAAGATACATTTTTTAATTTAATTTTCCAATAGAAAAGAATCCTCCATCACCTTGAGGACTATTTTTTGTTACAAATTTGTAACAAACCTCCGAGAAAAATGTTCTTTTTATAAAAAATGTATAAAAAGTACTGTCATGGATTCTGAGGACTGCTCTTTTTAAAAGAAGCATATCAGTTAGTGCTGATGATACATTCTTTAGAATTTAAATTTCCAATAGTAAAAATCCTCCAGAACAAATTTTCCTCAGGGTAAATGTTTTCTTACAAATTTATTTTTTATAAAAAGAATAATCTTCTGAAGTACTATAAACAAGTTTTCACTGTTCACAGAATAAAATATCCTGAGAAAAAATATGTCCCCGAGGGGCCTTCTATGACTGACCTCGGAGAAAAATGTCCCCTTAATGTCCGTTTTATAAAAAAATACTGTCATGGATTCTGAGGACTGTCCGTTTAAAAAAAACCTATCAGTTAGTTGTGAGGATACACTTTTTATAATTAAAGTCTTCAATGGAAAAAAATCTCTAGGAGATCCTGAGGACTATTTTTTAACAAAATCAATTTTGTATAGAAAGTAAAATCCTTCCGTAGGTCGTGAGGACTATATACCACATTTCTTATTCACAGAAAAACATATTCTGAGGATATGAGGATGAGGAAAAAAATGTCTCCTCGAAGAAAAATGTCCTTTTTATAAAAAATACTGTCATGGGTTATTAGGACTGCTCGTTAAAAAAAACATATCAGTTAGTTCTGAGGGTATACTTTTTAGAATTGAAGGACTATTTTTTGACAAAATTGTTTTTTTTTTTTTTAAAGAAAAATTCTCCGAAGGTCTTCATAAACAGTTTCACAAATTCTTCTAGGGTCCTTAGGTCTGAACATTTCCAATGTCTGTCTAAGGATAGATTTTTATCGAAACCTGTGAACTGACAGGACTACCTAAATATTGATAAATTCGTCCAGCAGTACTGGGGATTAATTTCTTATAGAAAAAAATACTATAGTGAACTTGGCGATTGATTTTTATAGAAACGAGGACTAAAATTATTAAAAATACCTCCGATTTTTCTTATAGGACAATCTAAGGATAGATGAAGTCTGTGGATTGATTTTTTATACAAAACAAAAAAAAAAATATCCGGGTGAACTTAGCGATTGATTTTTTAGAAACGATTTCCCAACGACTAACCTCCTATTAAAAAAACTCAACTTTTTCCGAGGTCTGATAGAACAACCTAAGGATTTAAAAATTCGTCTAGTGGTCCTGCGAATTGATTTTTTAATATAAACAAAGGTCTAATCTTCCATTAAAAAATATATCTCCTCATTTTTTGAGGTCTGATAGAATAACCTAAAAAATTTGGCGATTAATTTTTTTGAAAAGGCTTTCCTGAGAAAAAAAATACTTCCGAGTTTTCTGAGATCTAATTTTCCTCACAGAAAAAAGTGTAGATTTATCTGGATAATTTTTTTAAAGAAAATAAACCCAAAGTATTCTGAGGACTTCTTCTGTTCAATATGAAAATGTTCATGCAAGGATTTTTTAAACATGTGATCTTCGGGATTATTCTTGTTTTTTTATAACAAAATTATTCCTCAAATCTTAGGGTCTTTGAGAGTTGATTGAATCTTAAGGGACTCTAAGAATTTCTTTCTATACAGAATATTTTTTCCGTTTCGCCGTGTGAATTGATTTTATATTAAAACATTCTCAAATAATCCTGAGCCTTTTTGTTATGAGGCTTACATTTATAACATAGAAATAGTTTGTCTTCTGAAAATTTTAAAATATTTTATTTAAATTGAATTTTAATGGAATAATTTTTCTATAAAAAGAGGATTCAAGTAGCTCTGTAAAAAACAATCCTTCGTCTATGGCTGACAATTGAATTTCATTCTTATTCTGACTGGTTTTTTGGATCTTTTATTTATAAGAATTAAATTAAATGATGTTCCGACAACTTTTCACAAAATCGTATTTTTATTTCTTTTTTTTCGCAGATTTGGCGCATTTTCAATGCTTTGGTAATCTAGCTTTATGAAGGTATCAAATCTATCATACAGCTAAAGCGCCAAAGCTATGATAAGATGCGCATTTCTTTTAAAAACAAATATCTGTTGATTAGTAATTAAAAAGTAATTCACATTTTTTTCTACAAAATTAAATCGGAATCTGTGAAAACGTTAGGCCAGGTACAAAGTGAATCCCAGAATATTTTAAAATAACATTGAGAGTCACTAAGTACCTGAACAAAAGTTTTCCCACAACAACGGTAACGAAACTCAGTTTAATAGCTTTAGCAAAATAACAACCACAATCACTGATAATTGATCACCACTGATTACAATCATTGATATTTTCACTCGAATCCACTAAATAAAAAAATTAAAAAAAAAATCTCCATTGCTTACCATTATCAGCAAATTCCATGTGACACCATTTGTGGGCCATAATTTTCTCCAATGTCAAACGATGGCTAGGATTAGTGGCCAGCACTTTGCGCAATAGGGAAATAGCCAATGTATCCAATTTACTCCAGGGTGTTTGGGTGGACCAACGATCATTATCCTTCCAATTGATGAATTCTTGGCATTGCACCGAAGGTTCATCCCAGGGTAATTCTAAATTGAAAAAGGAAACAAAATATTAATAATGTATACAAAAAGCCTCAACATTGATTATTTTAATGGTTTCGATATTCTATATATGTGGCAATTGCAGGGCGGTGATGACGTCCATGGTGGTTATAATTTATAATGTTATTTTTTTGCTTCATTTTAATGGTGCAGTTTTTTTATTTTTGGGTGGTGGCGGCAAGCAATTTAAGCTGGAGCTTTGGTATAAAAGCTTTAGATGATATTTAAAAATTATTTTCCAAACAAGAAAATCTACAGCTAGAATACCAAAGAAACAGCAAAAATGAATTTGAAATGTAAAAAAACCAAAAAAATAATAAATAGACATAAATTGTAATGGTGGTGATTTGCTTTAATTTAAATTTATATTTTGTTTTATATTGTATTGCTTATATTTTATTTATTTTGTGATTTGGCTGGCGATTCCATATATTGGTGATAATAACAATGACAGTAGTGACACACACACAATGATAATATATAAAATAATGAAAATATTTATAAATAATAACACAAGTTTAAATAAGTTTTTAATACTAAAGAAAATTATAAACACTTATATATGATATAATGATATATTTAAATAATCGGACACTAAAAAAGGAAAGGCTAGATATCCTTTATGATGTCCAGTTTCTGGGAATGTTAAATTGATTTTTTTGTTCTAAAACTTAGTTTGGTTATATTTTTAAAACTTTTCAATAAAAAGATTTAATTTTTTTAAATGACCCAAAAAAAAAAAAAAATCCAAACGAAAATTCAAACTTAAGCACCGCTGTTGATTTTTTAATATTTTTTATGAAAGAGTTAATTTTCTATACGAAAGATTCTATAAAAAATCCATGAGGCCTCTTCGCCTGTTTTTATAAAAAGCAATCGAATCCTTAGGACTTATTCTGATTTTTTGGAATATTTATCAAACATTTAATAAATCTTCTTAGATAAAAATGCCGCATATCTTTGGGTATTATTAACATAAATGTAATTAGATAAATTGATTATCATTCCTAGGAATAATTTAGCCAGTAGTCCTTATAATAAGATATAGTCCTTATGTAAAGATATAGAACCACTCTAAAATATTCAAGATCTCCAGGGGATTGCCTTTTTAAAAACATTTATCAATGGGATATATTTATCGAAGATAGAAACAAAAATCTTCAGATGGTCCTGGAGAAGGTTTTCTATAGAAATATATTACAGTTTGTGCAGAGTTTGGATTCAATTGAAAAACAAAATAAATAAATTTAAACTGAATAATGGTTTTTTATCAGTCACCATTTTGTGGAGGATATATTAAATGTGTCACTAAATGTTCAACACCTCGGAAAGTCGTTGGAGACCCCATAGAGCTTTTGATAAAATTTTGTTTCAATCGCCAGATATAGCTGTACCCCCATTATTCAGTATTTTGGGCACTTGTCTAAACAAATTGACTGTATTTTGGGGTCTAATTGGAAAACAAATCTTCATATAAAAAATGTTCACCATGTTGACCAATTTTTAGGTTAGTCCCCATATAATAAAACCTTTTATATTTCGGTAATTTGGGCAGGTTTCTCATTGGGTATAAAATCTACCAATAAAAAATTATCACTTTCTACCACACTCACATTACGGTACCTCCCAAATTTTAATATTTTTAGGGCTTTGAGCAGGTTTTATATTTATACCCTCCACAACTATGTTGTCAGGGTATTATAGCTTTTTGCAGCCCCAAGAAATATTAGTCCTAGACCCACCTTTAAGTATACCGATCGTCATATCTCGACTAGCTGAGTCGATCTAGACATGTGTGTCCGTCCGTCTGTCCATTATAATTTGTAAACACGATACAGGCCACAGTTATGGACCAATCTTTACGAAATTTTGCATGTAGGATGGGTTCTGCCCAATGAAGACCCCTATTGTTTTTTGGAAAAGATCGGTTAATATTTAGGGGATGAAATGGACCAAATACTTAATTTTTGTCGGTTTTTCTGGTCGCTCCAGAGGCCGCAATCATGGCCCAAACATAGCGAATTTTTGCATGGAGAAGGGGATCGGGCCAAAGAATAAGCATGCCTGTTTGGATAAAGATCGGTCAATATTTAGCGCGTCAAATGGACCCTGTCTTTTGTGTGAAAAATGACAAAATTTGTATACTATAGCGTATATATTTACTCCTGAAGGACATAGACCCAAGAAGTTGATAGTATATCCAAGAGGAGTGGTTCACCTTTAAATTGATACCAATTATATGGTCATATGTACTCGGATGTGGGAGTTACACGTAAATATTTTCAGGAGCTTACGTATTCATATATTATTTAGTAACATATTACCACAATAAAGGGGGGAAATATAGCGCTCATCGCTTTGAAATTTTCCTTGAGGATCCTGGTATGGTCAAGGACAACGCCTATAATTTCCTGTGATGATCAGATAAAGTTTTGGGATGAAGTGGACTCAAAACTAAATTTTTTGTATTTTTTCGAGTCAATCTATAGGCCACAAGCCGAAAATCACAACACAACACACCGTGAAGTGAATCTGGACAAGTAATTAGAAGGGCTGTACAGAATATTGGGATATTCGAAAATATGTCAGTGTAAGGAAGATGTGCTGTGTGCAAATATCACGAAATATTGATCAGGCTCGAAATAAACATACGCACAAGTTAGAGTTCCGTGGTAGTTGTGTAGGGTATCATATGGTCGGCCCCGTCCGACTATACTGCTCCGCTCACTGGTTTGGATTATCATTGGGTAAACAATTTTTTTACTAAAAGCTTCCACATAACCGTTACCTCCCAAACTTTGGTATTTTGAGGGCAAGTTTTTTAACCAAAATGGCTCTAATTTGATTTTCATATAACGATAACCCCCCATTATTTGGTGTTTGGAGTATTTCAACCAAAATTTCTGTAATTCGGCATTCCGGGTTCTTCAATGGTGAAATAAGTCAATGCTTTGACATAGCTCGGTATTTTAGGGGTTTGTGAAAGGATTTTCTTCAAAAAATTTTCGATAAAGGAGCATGTTTTGATTTAACTCCCGCATAAAGGTCATAACCCATTTTCGGTATTTTAAAGGTCTTAGCCGCATTTCCAACCGAAGTGGCTGAACAAAAATGCAGAAAATTTTCAAAATAAGCCCATGTTATGATATAGCTTTCTCATAAGAAGGCTCCGTTCCAATTTCGGTATTTTGTACGCCTTAGCCGCATTTTCAAAGTGGTGGCTTTAATTTGGCATTCCGGGTTCTGAAACGTTATGCCGAAAATTATCCACCTTTTGGCATAAAAAGACCCGCACAATTTTCGAATTTTTTAGGAGTCTTAACAGCATTTTTCAACTGAAGTGGTTGTAATTTGGCATTCCGAGTTCACGTAGGTTCAAAACATCTTTGCAGAAGAATTACGATTTAGCATCAGTTGCAATGTTTCCTATGTATAAAGAAAGACCCCCCTATATTCGCCATTTAAGTTTGTCGAGGCTGTAAATTTTTATTCCAAACTTCTGCTCCATGAAACCCTTTTCTAAGAAAATACTCAACATAGATCCATGTTTTTACAAGGCTTCCGTATATATTAAAAAAAAACAAAAATTAAATATCAACACTCAAATAGGACTTCAGACACCAAGACAGACGGAGGAAGTTGTTGATTGCATGACAAAACATAATCGGTGTATTGATTATTTTTTAATTTTAATTCATAAGACATTTTGTGCAAATTTTTAATTATCCATTTTTTGATTTAACACATTTATGTGAGATATTTTTATTCTAAACATAAATCGTGACATGCAGGTGCTTTGGTAATAAACATTATTGAAAATAAATTATATTTAAAAAATAGTTTATTATTTCAAAGAAAATATTGAGATGTAAGAAGTGATATATTAAAGTGAAATTGTAATAAATGCATGAAATAGTACGAAAATTAGGCTGAAGATTAACATAGCCTAAAAATGATCGAAAGGAAAATATCTGAGGGATAATGTCTCTATAAGAAATAAGTAGAACTATTTTTATTGGCTTCTAGATCATTTTCATTATATATTTTAAGTAAGGTTATTATAATTTGAATTTGATATTTTCTAAATAATTTTTTTTAATATGCCTTACAAAATATTAAAATTATTTTCTAATAATCGTACATAAAATATATAATAAAAATTCTTTAGAAGCTAATGGAAATAGCTGTACATTATTCATGTTAATTTCATACAGAGATATTTAGAATTATCGTTAATAGACGATATATTAAAATGTGAGATTAATTAATTTAAAAGAATTCATAGAAAAAACGAATTATTCCAATGAAAAGTTATCGTTTATAAAATGTAATACGATACGATACGATGTAATACGATGCAAATCATTGTGATGCCAGATTTTAATTTTCTCTGTAGGAAATACGTATTCTACAGTTTCTTGGTTTCTTGAATATTATTATTACAAATTTCAAATTAGATTATTATAATTTAAATTTGGTATTTTTAATTTGCCCTAAATTGTCTTATAAAATATTAAATTTAATTTCTAATAATCTTGTATAAAAAATATAACAAAACCAGTGAGCGGAGCAGTATGGTCGGACGGGGCCGACCATACGATACCCTACGCAACTACCACGGAATTCTTTCTTTCTGCGGATTTTTATTACGAGCCTTGGTAATATTTCGTTATAGTTTCACCTTCTTGCCGTTTAGAGGTCAACAGCACCTCTTCCTTACTCGGACTTATTTTCCGAATATTCAATACAGCCCTTCTAATTACTTGCCCATATTCCCTTCACCGTGGGTTGTGTTGTGATGTTCGGCTTATAATTTTGGCCTATAGATTGAATCGAAAAAAAAAACGCAACAAAAATAAGTTTTCGGTCCACTTCATCCCGAAATTGTTATCTGATCATCACCGAAAAGTATAGTCGTTGTCCTTAACCATACCCGGATCCTCATGGAAAATTTCAACGCGATCAGCGCTACATTTCCCCCCTCTAGAGTGACAATGTGTTTCTAAATGATATACGTAAGCACCTGTAAATATTTAAGTGTAACTTCCACATCCGAGTACATACGACAATATAATTGGTATCAATTTAAAGGTCAACTACTCCTCTTGGATATACTATCAACTTCTCGGGCATATGTCCTTCAGGAGCAAGTATAAACGCCCCAGAATAAAAAAAATTGTAATTTTTCATACAAAAGTCAGGGTCCATTTGACCCTCCAAATATTGACAGATCTTTATCAAAACCTGCATGCTTATTCTTTGGCCCGATCCCCTTCTCCATTTAAAATTTCACGATGTTTGGATCATAATTGCGGCCTCCGGAGCGACCAGAAATTTCGACAAAAATTTAGTATTTGGTCCATTTCATCCCCTAAATATTAACCGATCTTTACCACAAACAATAGGGGTCTTCATTGGCCAGAACCCGTCCTACATGCAACATTTCGTGAAGATTGGTCCATAAATGTGGCCTGTATCGTGTTTACAAATTATAATGGACAGACGGACGGACACACACATGTCTAGATCGACTCAGCTAGTCGAGATATGACGATCGGTATACTTAAAGGTGGGTCTAGGACCAATATTTCGCGGCGTTACAACTTTTGGGCCTGCACAAAGCTATAATACCCTGACAACATAGTTGTGTAGGGTATTCATTTACAATTCTCGATAATAAAGTATGAGATTAATTATTGTTAAAGCACAATGGTTCCTATAACTAAATAATTTCTTCTTCGCCAATAGAAACCAAAAAAAACATTTTGAAGGAGAATACTTGTTATTTAGTTTTTATGGAAATTTTAAGCCATAAAAACTAAAAAACAAGTAGTCTCCTTCAAAATGTTTTTTTTGGTTTCTATTGGCGATTTAATTAAAACTTGAGAAACAACTTCTAACCTCAAAATGTTTTTAACTATTTCTTACAAAACTAAAAACAAAACAAACAAAAAAATTGATACAAATTCCTTTAAAATTTAACACTTTTATATAGAGAAATTCAAACAACAACAAAATAAATCAAAAACAACAACATAACACTTGAATATTCTCTCTTGAATGAAGTAACAACCGAACGATGCACTGTGTAGTGATGATGATGATAATGATACGACGCGCACACACATTATTTCTTTAGGATGTCATGCTGAAGAAAAGTTAATTGTTGAAGTTGGTGTGGTGTGATGGTTTAGCCAAGAAGGAGGAAGGAGTGAGCCTTACAGCCACGGCAACCAATCAACTATATATATTATGCCCACCACATCCAACCAAACAATCAACATCGGTGTAGAGTGGAGAGAAGTGATGGAAGTGCAAGTAGTAGTATAAGAAAAACATGAAGTTAGTTAATGAATGAAAAACGGAAAAGTTAAGTTGCAGAAAATGAGCCGCAAGCAGCTAACGTAGAAGATGTTGATGAGGATAATGTCAAGAAGGACAGACACATACCGCCAGCCAACATTGTTACCAAAATAATACCACATGACCAAATATCTGCGGGTTGTGCATGATATGGTTTTAGCAGGACCTCAGGGGCCACATAGGGCAGCGTGCCGCATCGTTTATCTAACAGACGTTCTTTGCCTTTGCATCTGAAATGAAGAAGAGGGAATTAGATTAAATTTGTTCAAATATTAAGTGTTTAGAAGAAGAAGAATAATCGATTACAGCAATTAAATTAAAGTATTGGATATTAAAAAAAATATAGTTTTGACTAGTTTTGGAAAAATATTGAACATTGATACTGAATGCAGTAAGAAAAGGACTAAGTATGGTGCGACCGACTATGTTGGTTATCAATTAGGCGATCCACATCTTTTCAGTACAATTACTTCTCAGAATAAATCATCATATATATTTTTTTAAATATTGAACATTTTTAATTATGAATCAACAACCTGTGACAATATTAATTTTAATTCTACTGTAATCGACAATTTCTTTCGACAATAATTTTATTTAATATACTTTATTTGTTATTATGATTTTGTTTTGAAATGTTCGTTTCATCACTTATGTTATAAATTGTAGTGTACCTAAATACCTAAACATGGTCGCCATTCCAAAATCGGATATTTTGATATTGTCATGTTCGTCTAGTAGTAGATTTTCTGGTTTCAAATCACGATGTGTAATGCCTCGCTGATGTAAATACTGCACCCCGGATAAGAGTTGGGTAAAATAGCGTTGAGCCTCATGCTGTGGCATACCGACATCAGGTTCTGCAAAGAAACATAAAAAGGATTAAATTAATTTTTGAAAATTTACAAAAAATTGGAAAATAAAAATATTAAAAAAATGTTAATAATGAGTAAAAAATCAACAATTAAAGAAAATAGTTTTTGCACCCTCCAAATTAAAACTTTCATGGCAATATTAATCGGAGGCCCCATTAAGTATATTCTTGATCTTAATAAAATCTATATAGATTTAGTTGTTGTTGTTGTAGCAGCCCTATTGCTTTTACACAACGGACTGAGATGACAGACGATGACCGATTAAGACTCGGGTCGTTTCGGATCATAATCCCCTCTGTCGTGGAAACGATATAGATTTAGTCCTGTCCGTCGTTTGAAATCATGATGAAACACGCAATATTCAGGAAAAAATGCTTTTTTGCACAGACATTGCTACTACTTCTAGGATATGTGGTATTGGGAATGGGATATATCGGTCCATGTTTGGTTATAGTCCATATACATAACAGCACACCCCAATGTTCGTTATTTTGGTCAGCGAATTGGCTGTAATTTGGTACATTGGTATCTCATTGGGTAGAAAAACTTCCTACTAAAAACTATCAAAATTGTTCCAATCTGAATAAAATCTATATATAGATGGGTTCCTGTTCATCTCTTGGAAGCACGATTAAACTCGCAATTTTCAGGAAAAAAGTTATTTGGAACAAAATTGCTACCATTCCTAGGATATTTGGTATTGAGAATGGGATATATCCGTCCATGTTTTGTTATAGCCTCCATATAACAGCACACCCCAATGTTCGTTATTTTGGTCATCGAATTGGCTGTAATTTGGTACTTTGGGATCTCATTGGGTAGAAAAACTTCCTAATTTGGCATTCAGGGGAATTCGAATTGGTTATTTTAACATCGATCCCATATTTTTAAGGTTTTAGCTGCATTTTACCATCGAAGAAATTGTAATATAAAATTTCGGGCTAAAATTTCAGAGGGTGATAAATATCTCTGTGGAACATAGGTCCATTTTTGACCTCATTTTCTATTTTTAAATAGCCACCATACATCAGTCCCTCTAAATTTTCGATATGTTTTCAAGAAAGGTTCTAGCTGTATTTCAGATTCTTCGAGGTTGCCAAACATCTTTCCAGCTTTAGAAGATTTTTAACCCATCTATAGACCGTAGAGGACTCCAAATCTTCTATAGAGAGTAGAATATCTCAAGAGTTTCAGATTTCTTCTATAGCAAAAAAAATGATCGACAGTAAATACCTGCAAGTTTTTTTTTTAGACAATGTAGGGCCTCCTCTAGGCCTTCAATACACAATGGAAGGTCGTTGATAGTAACTTGAACAACATTGCCGGTATGTTGTTCAGTTTTCTAACATGAGTGTCTGTAATTTGGAATTTTATTTTCTCAAAGCATAAATAATAATCTACTAGCAGACAATTTATAATGTCCTAGTCCTCATATAATGCTCCCGAACTAATAAAGGAATTTTGAATGCTCTGCCGATATTTTTTACTTTTCTCATAAACGAATTATTGTCCAGTTTAATTATAATTTAAAAATGGTTTAAGTGTTGAACACATTTTTAAAAATTGTCAAACAAGTGAAAGGATATTGAAAACTATCAAATTTTTGTATGAGTGTGTGTGTGTGAAATACTACAATAAAACGTTTATTACTTTCCTGCGTGTTGTCATATTTGAACAAAGGATAATTTTTTGTATGCCAATAATAAAAGCCATGCAATAACAACTAGGACGCCGACATGGGGAACCGGTTGGTGGTGGTGGTAATCGTAATTTTCTGCAAATAGCCAACAGTTTTTCAAACTACATACTTTGTGTAACATAACATCGAACTAGGTATGTGTGGTCTCACATTATACGCTTACAATGGTGTTAGGTTAAGCGAAAATTTGTGATGACCATTACGTAAAATTAAAATAGAAGGGCATGTGTTATAATTTAAAACACACAGTAGATATATGCCTTTTATAACGACTTATTGGTTTTAACAACGGTATACAAAAGTCCAGAAAAGGTGTAGAAATTGCTCTAAATTCCAAATGGGCAATTTTGGGTAAAATTTTCTGGTACTTAGAGAGACTCTATTTAAAACTAATGTTTTGGGGTAGATCTGAAGGCCCTTCAATTAAATTACTTTTCGATTTATCAAGGTGGTACAACTATATTTTCTGAATCACATCTGAAGTCCCCAAAATCTCTAATAAAAATCCAAATCGCCATCTCTAATGGAGTCATATTAACAAACTATCCTACCATCCATTCACATACATGATGCCACCAGCATCTACCACCTCCAACTCATCATGAAATTTGCCGAAATTTAATATAATTTTTAATTTGTTGTTTGGCTGCGTGTTATTACAAAATAGAATTTTTGTCGAATGTGGAAGGTCATGGCTGAAACTGAACAACTAACTAATAACATTTTTAGCAGATGTGTGTATGTGTGTGTTTTTTTATTTTTTGCATGGGCAGAAGAGAGAAAAATAGTTATTTTTAATTATTTTTGAAAACAACAAATGGTATTATTTTATCGTTATTAAGCAATTTAAAAATAGCAGAACGTAAAACAGAACAGAGATTGAAATAATTCGGTGAATGGTCTCAAATTTCACAATTTTTGCACACAAAGGTAATAAATGGGATGCAATTTGGAGGACATCAAATGCATTGATGGTCAATAAAATATAGAGAATATAAGACGCCTATGTATACGTCATCTATAGCAAATAGCTCTATAGCTAATAAAAATAATGGCAGAATTCAATATTTAGTATAGAAAAAGGTATAGAAGACCTCTAGGCCTTCTATAGACAATTAAAGCTCGTTAGGTCTTTTATAAAGACAAGAAAACGTCTAGGATCTTCCAACAATTTAGACAATTTTATGCATAGATGTTTGTCAGGAATGTTTGTCCCGGAACCTAGAATATCGAATTACAATCTATTTGGTTGGAAAATGCAGCTAAGATCTTCAAATGTTCGAATCATGGACCTATATCGAACATTTTCTGCACATATGTGTTTCATCCTCCATGAACCCTGATTGCCACATTACAGATATTTCGGTGAAGAAATGCGATTAAAAACTTCGAAATATCGAAAAAGAGACGGGTACTTTTTAATATGGGGATATTTAAAAACATGAATCTACATCGATAATCCCCTCCAATTATGCCTTTCATTATCCAAAAATTCTGGAATTCCAAAATTATAAAACCTTCGAAAAAGCGGGAACTTATATATGAGCAATATGTCAAAACACGGACCTACATTAAAGTGTGACTAAAATATTTAAAATACCGAAAATGGGTTTGAACCCTTATGTGGGGGCTATATCAAAACATGGACTTATATTGATAATTTTCTGTATATATGTTTGTTAGCGGTTCCTATATATGTCAAAACAATAGATAGGTCCTCTTTAGACAATTAATATTTTCTGCATAGTGATATGTCAGCTTCCAAAAACTCGGAATGCCAAATTACAGCCAAATTCGGTAGGAAAATGCGACTATCGCCATCATAATACCGAAAATAGAACGGTATTGTCAAATGGGGGCTACAGCAAAAAATGGGCCAATTTCCAATTGCAAACATCCTAGGACAAGTAGAAATGTTTATGTATAATTTCAAATATCTATCTCTATTATAAATATTGTGAGCTCTATCATGATTTCAATCGAAATAGAATTGTATACTGATCATCGGAACTTCCGATATTTCGAAACCCTAACGTTTCTGGTACCACTGGACGATTTTTTAACACATCTATGGACAATAGGGGATATTCAAGTCTTCTATAGAGATTTTTTATAAAGCCAATAGATGACCAACAATAAATACTTGCAAGATTTCTATAGGTAATGTAGGGCTTCTAGGTCTTCAGATTTCTTCTATAGCAAAAAATGACGACAAGTTTTCTATAGACAACGTAGGCCCTACGTAGGTTTTCAATACTCAATAGAAGAGTTCTAGGTCTTCTCCGATGATTGGTATCAAAAACGCAAAACATGTTAAATTAGGCTCTAAAACAATTATATTTCGATCTATATTCCGAATCACATCTGACATCCCCAAAATCTCTAATAAAAAGAATAAAGAATATGGTTGACCTTATTAAAAAATTTCGAAACCTCAAAGGTTATCATACCTGTATAGACAGTGGAGGACCTTCAAGTCTTCTATAGAGAGTAAAAAACCTCAAGACCTTCAGATTTCTTTTATAGCAAATAGATGACTGACAATAAATATCTTCATGTTTTCTGTAAGCAATGTGGGGCATCAATACACAATAGAAGAATTCTAGGACGTCTAAAGCAATTAAATTTCGATCTATCAAGGTTGGTGGTGCAACTTTACTACGAATCACATCTGAAATCCCCAAAATATAGAATACAAATCCAAATCGCCACTACTACTGGTATGCTAACTGCAGAAATTTTTAACTGAATTTTAACTGATCTTCTCTTCTATAGAGAAACAAATTAATAGAAATAACTGAAGGTATCTGGTATTCTATAGACAATGTAAGACTCCTGGTCTTCTGAAGACTTCATCCTCTAGGTGGATATTTTAATATACCGCTAGATTTTATATAGGAAATATTAGATCCTTAGGTTCTTATATATTAAATAATACCTATATTATTATAGAGGATTGGGTCTTAAGACATTAAAACCTCTAACTTTTCTAGACCAATAAAAGACTTCTTGACAATATAACATCTCTAGGTCTTCAGTTCGTCTTAGACAGTAGAGTTCTTGGTCTAGTGTTGACAAGCTGTCTCTAACTATGGATATCTAGGTCTGCTATAGTCAAAATATGACCTATATGTATTCTGTAGAATATAGAAGACGCCCATGTAGTCTGTTGTCCTGAAAAAACCTCTCAATTTTATGTAGATTATAATACCAAGAGGTCTATGGGTCTGGTGACCACAAACGATCTCCAGGATATCTGTAGACTATGTAAGCTATCTCTAACTATGGATATCTAGGTCTGCTATAATCAAAATATGACCTATATGTATTCTGTAGAATATAGAAGACGCCCATGTGTTCTGTTGACTTGATAAGACCTCTCAATTTTATGTAGATTATAATACCCAGAGGTCTATGGGTCTGGTGACCACAAACGATTATATGTATATCCTAACTATGGATATCTAGGTCTGCTATAGTCAAAATATGACAATAAATGTGTTGACTTGTAGATTTTATATGGACCACAAGGTTTTTAGGCAATAACACCTCTAGGCAATATAAGATCTTTATGCCTTCTGTTCGTTTTATATAGTAGAAGACATCTAAGTGCGGTGTTGGTAAAATAATACCTCAAGGCCTTCAAAACCATCCATGGGTTTTAATGGCCAGAAAATACCTCTAGGTGTTTTGTAAAGTATACAAGCTATCGTTAGCCTTTACACAAAATAAGACCTCTACTATAGACATATAGACATTTTATAGGCAAAATATTACCTCTAGGTCTTCTGTGGCTTGTAGAAAGCATCTAAATGTTCAGTAGACCTCCATGGGTTCTGTTGGCCAGAAAAATACCTCTAGGTGTTTCTAGTCTTTAGAACACCTGTAGAACCTTCTATAGGCAATGCAAGACCTCTATTGTTTCTGTAGACAACAGAATACACATAGATGTTGTCTTTTATAGGCAGTTGGAGACCCAGTACATCTTCTTTATATACCAAAATAGGCCTGTGTATTTTTATGTTCTTCGAAAATTATCTACTTGCAAAGGGTTTCACTGTCCACCTTCATCAACTAATCACAAACAGAAGGCACTACAAACTGAAATGGCAATAAAAAAGGAACAAAATTTTGAAATTAAAAAATACAAACCATTTTATGGATAATTTATTAACGCCATTATGTACGTCACATGCAGAGAACCGAGTGGTGGTCGGTCGAACATCAACGACAATGTCAAATAAAACCGAACCAGCAAGGACCAAAAACATGTTGAGAGGCTGGTTTTGTTAAATAATTCAAAACCCCGTTTTCTCTTTCCAGATTTATTAATTTTTATTTAAATAAATCAAATAAAAAAGTCAGCAACAGAAAAGTGTCAGCAATTTTATAGCCCAGGATGTTACACCAAGAATTTGTCAAAAAAGGTTAACAAATAAACTTCCGGCTGTTAAAACTTGCACAACTATCAACACAAATTATTTAAATTATTTGTAAAGAGGTTAACACTTTATTCCTTTCTTCGATTTTATTTATTTTTTGTTTAAAATTTAAATTTATTTCCGCAACACTAAACAAAATACGAATTGGCTGGATGGTTGGTTGGCTGCTGTAGGAACCCGTTTAAGATGAACGTTGAAAATCAACTAAATCGGCTGCTGTGATTCAAATACTTAAATGAAGAGGACCGAAATTCCAAAGGGAGAACAGACCAACCAAAAAAAGAACAACAACAACAAGAAGAGGACCGAATACAAGGTCATTGTCGTAAAAAGGATCATAAAACAGGTAAGTAAGACGAAGAGCAGGAGGACGAACGAAAAAAACCGGCTTATGAAAGGATGATTTAGAATGATTATACAATGAACAACTACCCCTACAACTACCGCACCACCGAACACTACAACTACTACACGGACACACAATCTTATGGATATCCTGTGTGCCTGGATAAATACACAAAATCTGAAAAACCTGTTTCACAGTAAATTAAAAGAAAATATTTTAGTGTTTTTTCTTTTTTGGTTTATTGTTGGACAGGTTAAAATGGACCAGCAGAAATAATAATATAGAATACAACAACAACTACAATGTTATATTCTCAGAGAGACCCATGCACACAACAGCAACCTACATAGTTAGATGGGCCAGCTGATAGCAGACAGATTGAGGTAAATTGTCCATCTTCTTTTCAAATGTCGAAAACATGTTCTTAATTATAATAATGGTATGTTGGTTGTAGTTGTAGTAGCAACCTGAATGTGTATTGGTATTTTGGGAAATTGCCATCAAACACAAGTCTAAGAGCGGGAAAAATTGTAAAATTTTCTTTAGAAAGTATTAAAATTATTTTTTGATCTGCCTATATTTTGGAAGAAAATAATCTTTATTATTAAAAAACTAAAATGCCTCTAGGTCTTCAGCGGATAATAGAGAACCCAGGTCTTCTACAGATAATGGCAAATTTATAGGTTTTATATAGAAAATACAGGGCGTATAGGTTTTCAATAATTACTAGAATTTCTTTTGGTTTAGTATTCTAGACCTAGAGGTCTTCTACAAACAATGTAGGCCTATAGATGTAATATGTGCAATAGATGACCTCGGGGCTTTATGTAATTGATAGAAGTCTGGTAGATCTTTAAAAGATCGCCTATGACCTCTGAGTCTTCTATAGACCACAAAAGACCTCTAGGTCTTATATAGACAACATAGGACTTTTTCGACTGGTATAGAGAACATACAAGGCGTAGGACTCCATAGACCCCAGATGATTTCCAGGTCGTATTTACATCACAACGACATTTAGTTCTCCTTTAGAAGAACTCCAAGACTTATATAAACAACGAAATACCTCTATAATCAATTGAAGACTAGGATGACCTATACGTATCCTCTTAACAATAGAAAACTTCAGGGGCTTCAATAGACAACAGAAGGCCTCTAGGTATTTTTTAGCCGTATAGGACCTCTTGGGTATTTATTAAAAATAGAAGACCATGAGATATTTTATTTACCTTTTAATCGCAGAAGACATATAGGTCTTCTAATAACCATAGAAGACCTCTAGGGTATCCGTAGAAACAACAACCAGTAAAACCCCGCAATATCCTCCGTAGAAAACGTTAAGGCCATCTACAGACAATAGAAGACCTCTAAGACTTTTATAGACATCGAACCGTAGATCCGCTAATAACAACATCAGAATTTATTATAGAATATTTCACCTATTAAACGGTGAAGACTCCTAAATCTTATATTAATCATGGAAGACGTCTAGATCTTCTATTAATCATAGTAGGAATCTATGGTATTGTATAAAAAATGCAAACTTCTAGGTTTAGAAGCAATATAAAATCTCGAGGTCTTCTATAAACCCTCTGGTATTTTTATAAACCATTGAAGATCTCCAGGAACTTTAAAAGCAATACAGCACCTACTGGTCTAACTCTAGGCCTTCTATTAACCATAGAGAAGACCTGTAGATCTAATACAATAAAGAAGCTCTGTGTCTTCTACACAAACATCTTCAACTGCCTTCTCAAGATCTCAGGGTATTCGATAGACTATAGATCCGCAGAAGTCCTCTTGGTCCTCTACTAATAATAGATTACCTCTAGATCTCCTATTAAGCATTGATGACCTGTACATCTTATAATCCAATAGAAGTCCTCCTATTAATCATATAGACATCAGAATCTAGGTTTTCTATTTGCTTCAATTTCTGGGGCTTCAATACACGAGTATGGTGATTTTATAGGTAATCGAATAAATTAACGCCTCCTAGACATTTAGGTATTCTATAAAATACAGAAGGCCTCTGTGCTCTCTAGGTCTTCCATTAACATATATGAGCTCTTTATCTTCCACACAAACATCTTCAACTGCCTCCTCAAGACCTCAGGATATTCGATAGACTTTGGAACTCATGATATTCTAAAGATCTCAAAGTTCTTTATTGAAACGTCTCTTATTGTATTCTATAGACCTCAGGGTATTCTAAAAAATGACTTCTATTATATTCGTAAACAATATATGTTTTCTTTTATACAAAATAGAGGACAATAGAACACATCCAGGTCTTTCATATATAATATATGAGATCAGGAGTTGCTGCACAAACACCCTCTCAAGGCCTTAGGATTTTTGTATAGACTGTAGAAAATATAGATTTCTATTATCATTTGTAGACAGGATATTTTATAGAAAATTTGAAGGTCTTCAGAGGACAATATGTGAAATATGTACGTTCCTGTGACTTCTAGAGCCAGTAAAAACTCGATGAATTTTATTTAAATATAAGAGTCAGGATTTTCTACACAAACGTCTTCGATTGTCTTCTTAATTCCTTATGATCTTCTATAGACTGTAGAAGAACTCAGGACAATAGAAGATCTCAATGTTGTTTATAGAAACTTCTGTTATTGTATTATATATCTCGGATAATAAAAGGCTATCCTGGCCTTCCTAAGATAACATATAAAATGAGGATTCTCCCATTGTTTTCTCAAACCGTCAGGAACTTCTAACAGGATCGTTTAGATCATAGAAGATCCCAAAGTCTGTATTGTATAGACCTCAGTGTCTTCTCTAAAACTACTTATATTATCTTCTGTAGATAATAGAGCTCTTCAGGGTCTTCTATAGAAAATTGGAGGATCTTCAGTATTCAATATCGGCCTCAGAATTTTCTGAAGACCTCATGGTCTTCTATAGATAATGCAAATCCTCTGTAGACATACATAAACAATAGAAATCTAAAAGGCTTTCTTATTCAATATAAGAAATTTGGCCCTTTTTCTGTCCATTATATACTTCGGAAATTTCCGTATTAAATATAACATTTGAAGGCCCATTCGATAGTGTAGAGAAGAATCTGTGCATTTGGTTTTCAGGAAAGTCATTAACGGAAAAAATTCGGCTAAAAAGGTGCAGTAATAAATTATTTATATTATTATACACAAACAAGTGGCTGCCTAGCTGTTTGGTGGTGCTAAATGATGATTCTGTTTGTCCATGGACCACATAAGAGAGGCGGCAAATTGAGCAACAACACCAACTACTACATAAAACCAAATTTTAGTAATCGTATTTTCTTCTACGTCATTGTTAATTTTCATTAGTGACTAATTCTGACAGGAGGGCGAATGGTAGTAAGGGGTAACATTTGCGTGAGCGTGTAACATACGCATTCAGGTAGGTAGCAGTTGCACCTAACCTCCTAAAAAATCTGAAGCCGTAAACAAACCATGTGGGATATTAAAAATATAATTCGTGTAAAGGCCACCAAAAAAAGGTCTGGCATGACAAGAGATTTTTTGTTGTTTTTGTTCTTGCAGGTTATCTTGGTGACTATGCAAAAAAAAAACAATATTTTAAGGTTATCTTCTTGGTCATGGGGAGAGCTGTTAGTTTTATGGTCTTTATTGTACAAGATGTTGGTGTTTTTTAATTGTATTTATTTTCAGGATTCCCTACTACCTGTAATTTTAATGGATTTTTCCAGTTATTACAGGATGACTTAAGTGTAAATATTTTGGGAGGGAAAAACTACATGTGAGATTAGTATAGTCGATTTGTTTTTGGTAATTGTTACAATACAAAATGTGATCGATTTCGGAGGAAAATCACAAGCACTTATTTTTATTAAATGGTACATAATGAACCCGTGGAAATTGGTTGATTGTTACAAAATCAAACCGACTTCATAGCAAATCTAGAACAAAAAATATATGATAACGATATTTGACTTATTTGAATTCGAAATACTTGCGTAAAATCGAATTGGGTAAACAATTATAAAAAACTTCACTTTTTAGAGAATATTTCCAACAACAAAATATGAAAACTCAATAACAGATACTCTACAAACAATAAAAGTTCTCCTACAAATACCAGTGGGTCTTCTATAGACAATTCTAGACCTCAAAGTCATCTATAAAGATAAAAACCCTCGATTAGGGATAAGTAAATCGACTTTCGACTAATCGATTAATCGACTTTTTGCACTGAAAAGTCGAAGTCGACTTGTGGTCTATGAGAAAATCGTCTTTTCAAGATCGACTTCCGATTTTCTTCAAAAATATTAGTTTTTTTATCACATAGCTCAATTTGACCAAAAAATTCACTTTCCGGAACTTTACATTATCTGTTCAAAATAATTGATATAGAAAGTCAAAT